GCTGTGGATAAGGAGGCATCACCTGTCCTGTACAGGGCCCAAGCCATCAGGGGGCCCAGGCAGCTGGGTGAAGCAAATGTGGGCAGGGAGTGTGACTGGCACTGGAACCGATCCCCTGTATGTTTCTTTACAGCAGCTGAAAGCTGGCTCCTCTCCCACCCACTGGCTTTCAGCTCCTGCAGAGGGAGCCATACAAGGGGATCAGTTCTAGTAACCCAGTGCCCCAACTGGGCTGTATAAAGTAGCAGAAATAAATGTGATCCTGCCGTGATTACCACCATCAAAGTGAACACGCAGATGCTGCAGCAGTGGAAAGAAAAAAAAAATAAATCTCCTTGATGCTGAATGATTGTTGCACAGACAATGGAATAAAGTATTGATCACTCTCCTTCCGACCTCATCAAGATTTACTCTTAATACTTTAACTCCATATGTGGGCAAAAGTTAAAAAAAAAAACCCACACAGTGCAATTCCGGTAAACACATTTATTAACCAAATTCCCCCCTTAAAACGGAAGTCACATTAAGTCAAATGAAAAAGCACATTGTACATATAGCACTCCAAATGTTCTCACAGCCACTTCAGTGGCAGGCAAGTCTCACCACACATTTCCTGATGGACTCCTGCAGCAGTGGTCATGTGATTGCACCATGTGGTCCCGGTGTGCATGCCATCACAGATGGTCTCGCCCTGATGCGTTTCGTCATTTCAATATGAGGGTGTGCTATGTTTTTAACTTTTAGCCAACAGGCCGGGTAAAAAAAAAAAAAAAAATGAAAAAAATCAAATTGTTATAAATTTAGGCTAAAATGTATTCTGTTACATGTCTTTATTAGCAAAAAGGACTGACACTACTAACAGCACTGGGCAGGAAGAGTCAAAGGGTTAACTGTTCAAGGAGTGTTACTAAGGGGCAGTGTGTACTTCACTGTAATCGCACTGCTCTGGATAGAAGACTGCAAAGGTAGGTAAAATTGCAGCTCAGACAGATCTTACTTCAGTACCTACAAGTGTGTTCATTTTTAATCCCAATTAATAAATTTATCTAATTTTTGATCAAATTACTACACCATGGGTACTTTTTTCTGCTCCGCATTGAGCACTTAAAACCCCCCCCCGGTGACCATCCCAGAGGAGAGCTGTATCCAGCAGATCCCATCCGTAGTCAGGTCTTAAAGGGGACCCCCAGAAGTTCAATTACCCTCTGAGGAGTGATCCATTCCAGGCTACATCCTACCCAGGATTGAGGGGACCTCTGTCATACACGACATAAACACGCATTATTGCATCTTTGAGTGTGCAATTTAACAGTTATTCCTGCACAACACCAGATTGTATGTATCACTGGGATTATATCTAGTCACCTTCTGTCATTTCAGATGTGGTTTCATCACCAGTGTCATCTTTTGGACTTTTATTAGCACTGTACCACATATTTAGTGGATGTGACTGGCATAACTGAGCACCTCACATCCATCAAGGACACTATTTGTTGTCTATACACCTCGGCTAATTAATATTGGTTATTTTGATATCTGTGGATCATTTTATATCCTATTTATATATGGTATTAGTCTATAGTTCTGCACTACATATTTTGTGATTATCTTGGAAGGTTTTATAGTTTAGTGTACCAGCTGCTACCTGTTTAAGCGCTCGCTGAACCCCCTCTTATCTTATAGACTGAAGTTCGGCTGGTTCAGCAGGAACTGGCCAAATGGCAATCCATCTATGGGCAGGCTGGTTGTACTGAAGTCAAATTATAGATTTCATTACAACCAGCCTGTTGCTTTTTCTTATGGTCACTGCCAGGGGTGGAATGACAACTCATGGGGTCCCTGGGCAATAGGGGATCATGGGGCCTGTGTCCTTGCAAGTGTACCAGGGGCATCTCATGGAGCCCCCTACTGACCCCAGGCAGTGCCCGAGTTTCCAAATGGTCAGTCTGCCCCTAGTCACTGCTGGTGGCTAGAGCAGCCAGCAGTAATTGTAATTTAAAAAAAAAAAAAAAAAAAAAAAAAAAAAAAAAAGCACTCAGCTTTGGGAAAGGGAGTTAGACTCCCAAAACACATCATCCACTCTTACTGGGCAGTTGTACCACAGGACCCCTGTGGTGTGGGATCAGTTTGGCTTCATGTGTTTATTACCTTTGTATCCATTTATTATGTTTCCAATGTATTTGGAACAATAGTTATGCACGAGGCGTGCACACCCTTTAACAGTAATCATTGTGTTATGAGGTTTCCCGGTCATCAAAATGACTAGCACAACAGGAGGGATTCCCCTCCACAGTCAGTGGGGATGAGGGAATTGTTTTCTTTCCTTTGAACAGGGAAAATCACTCAACAATCTATGGCCAGCCTGTGATATGTAGTACAGACTGAAAAAAATTACAGAGTCCTTAATAAATGTGATCTGAATAAAATCTGTTTATTGCCAATAAAAAAATCAGACATGTTTGGTCATTTAGCTACTTAAAAAGGCAAGTCTAGTTAAGAGTGACACCACCCACCTACCCCTCCCCCCACAATGAATATGTACTTAGGATGAGCACAATAAAATAAATTGATAAGGTAAATTCTTGGAACTCATGACTGTTTTTTTTTTTTTTTAAAGTGTTTTGTTTTTACAAAACACAAACTAAGGGTTGCATTGCTGCCTGTGCTCCAGATTGGGAGATTCACCCACTTCCAATCCTGGTCACCATTGTCAAGAGGACAGAGAATGAAGGGAAATCCAAAAACATAAACAGGTCGCCAAAAAAAAAAAAAAAAAAAAAAAAAAAAAAAAAAAAAAAAAAAAAAAAAAAAAAAAGGCAGGTGGAAATCTCCCAAGTCAAACAGCAATAAAAAAAACCTAGCAGAGGTTCTAAGTCCCTTCTGCACAGAATGTTCTACTTTAAAAAAAACCTGCTTTCACTTTTAATCCAATGTAATAGGCTTAAACAAACAAAAAAAAAACTCTCATTGGGCTGCTCATGGCCTCAGCAACCATCTGCTTAGATTGCTCAGGATGGGAACAGGGGAAAAAAAAAAAAAGTTCCTCACCCTGGTAGGCTGAAAATACCAAATTTTAAATGTCACTACCCTTCAATGTAGAACCTTACCCTATAATCAATGTAGAACCTTACCCTATAATAAATGCTTATGTGAAGCAAACTCAGAGCTGCTGCAACCTCAACTGAATCAGAAATGATCAATACTTCGGCACCACAGGAGTATGGGGCAAAATGTGTGTATATACCCTTCCCAAGCAACACTATGGACCAACCGTCAGGCCCCAGCACCATTACATGGGTAGGAGCTGGCCTAGCTTTATGCAAATTGAAGATTTCAGACAGGATCTTTGGGGGGGCTGTAATAATGCCTCTAGTAGATGGTGCTAATCTTACTTTTTTTTTTTTTTAAATATAGTACCCAAGGAGCCAGCCATCTGTGGTGTTACTTTTCAGCACCAAGCTATACATTATATGAACTAGAATTTTATACATGCAGGGTAAAGCAACAAGTTAAATTTACACATTGACATGACACTGGGGAGCATTTCCCAATCCAGGGGCCACAGCTGCCCATAGAAATCAATGGCTATATGTGGATATATACCAGTACTTACAAAACCACGTGCCACGGAATGCAGGCTGCCTGCATATAGGGGTACATGCCTATGCATGTTAAGTGTCCAATGTATACCTCTGTATATGCAGCTGTACACAGCACCTGTGGGTCCTGGGCTGGGAAATCTGATTAGCACATATGACCCCCAAGGTACCCATATGCTTGAGGTCCAAATTCTAAAAGCAGCAGAGGCCACCCTGGGCAAACTACAGTTCCCCATATGACAGCACTGGTACTTAGTGACTGGCCCACCACTTTCTGATTGAGTCCCTGCCAGCTGAGGGAACGTGCAGAGGAACATTGAAAAAGGAAGAGTACATTCTGCTGGGGAAGGAAGATAGAATAAAAAAAATTTGAATGTGCAGGCAAAACATTTTAGTTTTGGATAGAGTGGGGAAGGGTAAGAACCCCTGCCAGGTTTTTAACACTTTCTGGGACTCCATTAGAAAGATTTCTTCCCAAATTCTGTCCTGCTGACATTTTTACCAGACTGGAAGTGAGGGGGACCCTTCAGCAGCAACACAGAAAAAAAGGCCTTTTATAGAATTGAGAAAGCCTAGAACCCCTGTCAGATATCTGTGTCCCTGTTGCAGATTTTCCCACACTTCCTGTGTGGCAACTATAGTCAACAGCACAGGAAATGAAAAATCTCTGCAATGCAGGCTTGGATAGCAGTAAAAACCAGGGATACTAATCCTTCCCTACTATATCAAAAGCTTAAAATGGTATTGGCTGGACATATAAATCAAACTTGTTAATCTGCCCTGCATGGAGAGAACAGTTTGGTTTTAAGCAAGTTCACACTCAAGTGGACCCCCGATTTAGAAACAGCAATACAGAGGGTTACCAATGTCTACCCAACTAAGGAACTGGGTTCGGATATAAACAAATTCTAAAGTAAAAGCAGCAGTACCATGGATTTACAACCCAACACCAAGCTAGAGAATCATCTGCACATACAAAATAGGCTACAAAATAAAAAAAGAAAAATTAAATATAAAAATTTCAGACTTCAACAAAAAACAGAGCTGGCCTCTGAAAGTGCATTACCCATAAAGGGACACAGGAGAGCACAGTATCTGTTCTGAGAATTCCAGTTGCAGGAGGGAATGTGCAAAACCACAAATTGCCAAAAGCGAAATGCAAAAGTCTTAGGTTCCAGGAGTTTATGCGAATTTGGCCCCCTTCCATTAGGGGGCTCTGTCTAATCCAATGTACAAAATTCAGTTAAAAAAAAATATGGTGTCTAACACATTCTAAAAATGGTCGCCTTTTTTGGGGTCGTTAAGTAGTTCCACTTTTCCTGTGGTAAAGGATTCTGTTTAATCAGAGGCCATCACAAAGGCCCTGTGTCAGACAGTTTATCAGTCTACAAGGCTGCCATCTTAGGCTGCAGGCAGGAAGCCTTCACCACTGCCAATGTCTACATCACGTCTGGTCTCACAGCTACATTCTTCAACAAGGACCACCTCCTCCCAGGAAAGCCTGCCCCCATGGCACTGCAGGGGGACGGAGATGCGTCTGGTGCGCACGGGGGCACAGGAAGCACAAAGCTGAAGTATTTCGACTGGCCAGCCGGGGACATAGAATGAGTTGCACTGACCGAAGCAGAATTTGTTGGGGACCTGCAGTTTAGCACAGTTGTCCCTGAAGATATCCTGGAAAAAAAAAAAAAAATCAAACCATTAGAACACAAGATATCTCCATCCCTGTTCCTGGAGGGACAGTAAATAGGGTCATGTAGTAAGGGGGGTGCAAAATGCATGACTAGGGCCATACTATACCAAGTTAGTAATCAGATTTGGGTGGAGCGGTCTTAAAGGATAAGTTCACCTTTAGAACATTGCAAATGCACCACCTGTTTAGGGTGTAACATGTACCAGCATCTGCATCCCGATTACCTCCTGTGACAGCAGGCATGGGATCTTCTTTCAGCACCTGCTGAGACAATTTAAAAAACAGGGCAGCCATGCAGGGATCTGCCCACATGGCTGCCTCATTCATTCAGTTTCCTGTGAATGAATAGCCTACAAGTACCATCAGCCATTGCAGCAGATGGCTTGTAGATCAATGAACTGAGGGCGCTGGTGAACACTCCTAGTCCATTGATTCTTTCTGCTCAAGTAACTGCCCGCCCATACAAGGTATGGGCAGACATCTATTCTGAGTGTCTGCAGGAGCCTGACATTGTACCCATGATCTGTTGACTGCAGGTGCTATGCTCTGCAGGCTTAAGGAAAAAAAAAAAAAAAAAAAAAAAAGTTTTCCTGCAAAACATGAACTTAACATTTAAGTGGAACCCAAAAGGAAGCATTTCTTTTATCACCATGAAGACTTACTTGTCCAGTCAACTTATTTTGCATATTTACCTGTCAAATTCTGCCTTAGAGACATCCAAAAGACCTGAAACTGCTGTTGGGCACCACCATCTTGGATGTGATCAGCCACAGCCAACTCCAAGCTGTCACACAAGTGACTCATCCCCTTTGCTCATCCCACATCAGCTATATAGAAGGATATGTAGGGAGGGGCAGAGGAGCTGGGTCAGCAGAGACAGTACATAGACTCTCCAAGAAGAGCAGAGGGCTATGATGTGGCAGGGGGAATGGTCTGTGGCACAGAATTTACTCTTCCTGGAGAAGTCGAATGCCTTTAGGGAGGTCAAAAGGCAAACTGCAAGTAAATTAATTTTTTTTTTTTACAATTTTGTAAATTTTAATGTGAAAAAGTTCCAAAAAGTTATTGGAATCTAGCATCAGATATATTGTAGTTGTGATGTTTGAAAAGGGAACATCTCAGGGGAGGCACATAAGGCTGCCATCACCAATTCCTTTCTGAACATGCCAACTGTCTGAACTACTGAGAAGAGTGGTGGTGAGCTCAGTTATCTTGCGATTGCAGAGTTCACACTTCTAGCCAGTGGGGGACAGATGCAGCATTGGACTGCTGCTTCATCCACTTGGGCAAGTATAATTTGGAGGGGGGGGGGGGGGGGGGGGGGGGGGGGACTTTTAAAGTCAGATATATTACTATTTGTATACAAGTTCCAGGTGAAGAACACTAACTAGGTAAGTGTGAAACCACTTGCAGAACGAGAAGCAGCCCACCACAAGTCTTGCTCAGGAAACTCTTTAAAGCAGACTAGTGAGACTAATGCAACAACTGTCAACTCACCCAACCACCTGAACTGCAGGAAAAGTTCTGGCACACCAAATAGATTAATCATGGAAAGAAATACTACCGCTGCCCGAGAGAACCAGCATGCACATGGAGAAGTTACTGAGACAGCTCTCGCAGCAGAGAAGAAATCCCAGGGTACTCTGCAACCTTCAGAAAAGGTTTGTGACCAAACAAAAACAGACTAATCACCCATTTTTAACAAAACATAACCCCCACAGACAAATGTCTTACCTGGACAAAAGGCAGAGCATCACACCTCGACCTATTCATTTCATCCTGTCCAAGTGGCATCACCTGCTCTGGATGGGACCTGGTCTTCTCTTTCCTGATCTTAGCCTCCCATATTTTTCTCTCCTTAAGGCTTCTTCATCCTTGTGGCCCCTGGACACCATACCTGGCATTCCTTGGAACAAGGTCCTCTCAGGAATTGAATGATCTCTCTTGGCAAAAGGGGAATTTAGGAAAGCAAGTGGGGAGCTAGTATGAAACCTAGCACGGGAAACAGAGCAAGACCTTCCATGGCGCGTGTCCCTTCGGATCAACTTTGGCCCAGCTTTACTGTTGAATGGAGCTGAAGTCACTATGGCAGGAAGTAGGAATATTACAAACTGTAGCCAGAACATCTTCTCAGGGGTATGGAAGGTTTAAGACTATATAATCTGGGGATCAAGCCCCTTTCGTCTAGCTGGGTTAAAGGCCTGAAGAGACCCACAGTCGTAGGTTCAAGTTTTCTTCAGATACTGTGGAGACTCTTGTTTATATACCCAGATGAACAAAGGGGCTGAAGAGAAGCAAGACTTGCCGGAGAGAAAATTGTCACCTTCACCACACCTGTTACAAGGAGCAAGAGAAAGGTTTATTTTTACTTAGATCTGCTGGATGGTTTCAGGCAACAAGTCCTGTTTGAGTTTCATGATGGACAGGTGATACAGTGTCTGCACATAAACACATGACTAGGAACTGAACCCAGAGCTGTCTATAGAACCAACATGAGTGGATAATATCCAGATATTAGAGTACATCAAGTCCAGTAGATAAAGCTTTGGCACAAGCATCTGGTGGAAACCTTTAACATCTGCAGGGTACCCTCAGATGCTTGGTGCAGATAAGCAGTTTTGACCTACATGTACACAGGGCAATCACATACTCATCCAATCCCAACATTCAGGTGCCCAGGAGGTACAAGTGCAGTGTTCAGTCCCACTGCCCCTAGTAAAATTTTGACATTCTAAAAATATGCAGACCCTGTATCAAGCAATACCCACATTTAGAGTTGCATGCGTTAAAGGGTGCAGAATACCTACATTCCAGGCACATGTCACTGAACGCATACAGCTCTGCATGTGAGTAATGCTTTGTAGAGTGCCGGGGCTGCTGGCAGTGGGACTGGGACTCTCACCCCTAGGAGAGCTTGCTCATGGAACCCCCAATAAGGTTTGGAGGAACCCTGGAATTCCATGGAACCCTGCCCTAGGAAGTCTACAGAAAGCATGTTCATACTGGCCAGATCAAGGAATATTTGCAACTATGCTTTTTCCCTGGTCAAGCCTGTTTGGGGAAAGTTGACCGTCTGCAAAAACCTAATTCTATGGCTTCGACAAGGCAATCCATAAAGCAAAACTATTCTTTCCATCCTACAAATACCCAAGATTACCTGCACACTGCCCACTAAACAGCCATTATTCCAAATCAGCATAAGATTCGCATGAAGTGTTGGACAATTTTCAAGCTGTCCTCAGATGCCATGTGTGGTCTTAAGCTGGCCATACATGGTTAGGAATTGTGGAAATTCTGAAAAAATTCATCAGAACACTACACTCTTCTCTTCCCCCCCCCCCCCCCCCCCCCATTGTTGAGTCAATTAATGCGTTTTGAAAGCAATCAGAATTTTGTCCAGACCAGCCACTCAAGTTAAATCCCAAACATTATACAGTACTACAATTTGTATGATTTTTCCAAAAAAAAATACCCCACACATTCAGTTAAAAAAAATTCAAACAAAAGATCTGACCCATTAGCTATAAGAAAACGAAATTATGAAAATTAAAAAAAAAGTGTTCTAATAAAATTCTATTGGTCAACTTAATCATACTCTTAATTTGGATGTGGTCAAGACAGGGAACAAGTCTAGATCTGCACCTATGCTCTACTGGGATGGCCATGTATGGACCAATCATATGGTACAGTATATTTAATTGATCAAATAAAGCAAATTAGAGAAGGTCATTACATAGATGAGGTTGAATAAAGACAGCAGCCCATCCAGTTCAACTGGTGGGGGTGTATATGCATTCATTGCATCCCTAGCACATCCCATATCCCTGTATATTGTGTTCGCCAAGATGCCCATCTAAAAAAGTTTTAAATTTGTCAACACTTCACACTGACACCACTGATTGTGGAAGGGAGTTCCACATCCTTACCATTCTAACTGTAAAGATACCCTTACTCAGTTTAAGTATAAAACCACTTCTCATCCAGCTTCATCAAGTAATTACATGTTGTATTGAGCATCCAGACTTCAGTCCTCTCCCTATGCCTCACCATTTAGAACTTTATATATTGCAATCTTAACCCCTCAAGTCTTCTCCAGGAAAAGGTTAATGAGTGTAGCCTTTCCTCATAACAGAGATCCCTCAGTCCCCTTATCAGTTTTGTAGCCCTTCTCTGGAATCTCTCCAATTCAAGCACATCCCTCCTGAAGTCTGGTGACCAGAACCTCAAATTGTGTTTACACACTGTAGGCTAGAATTTTACTCAAAGCAATATGCCTGCACCCACAGATGACAGAAAATGCTAGTTGTCCAACTGTCATACTGACTTCAAACACTTCAAGGAAAAAAAATAGGGGCTCAATACCAAGTGTGGTCAAAACACCTTGATCTGTGTCAGTGGATTGGAAAGTTCTGAAGTCAATAGATCAGCGTACAAGCAAGTACCCAAGAAGGACTACGTGTACCCGTTTATCTTTTAGTGTGCCAAGCACCTCCAAGGCAATGGGTGTCCTCTTAAGGTGGAGGCCCTTCCTCCCTCCCCCAAAGGATTTCTCAAGATTTTTAATCTCGCTAGGCCCTCCTTATATGCCTAGACCTTGCTAGTTTGGGTTCATTGTGCATGTGCCTGATCCACACTGACCGGCCAGGTCTCATGTATGAACAAACAAAAAAGCACACCAACCTTGTGCATTACCTTAGTAAACCAAAATTAGTCACAGAACTCACAAACAATGAAGTATATCAAGCATGCAAGTCCACAAAGGGACCAAGGATAAAAGCAGCCTGCGCGAGTCCCATCATAGGAGTGGACACTCAGGTAACAGCTGCCACGTTTCGAAGGGCGTCCCTTCTTCCTCAGAGCTCTGGCATTTTGGTTTATTGAGGTAATGCGCAAGGTTGGTGCGCTTTGTTTTTCACTTCACAGTATCGGTCGCGCTTCCTACCCCGGGTTGGGTCACAGAGCGCGAGAGAGTTTCTTCTATATCACGTATGAATAAGCCATTGCAGATACTGACATGACCTGGATGCAGGTTTGGGGACACATCCTAAGATATTACAAGGGGAAAGTCCTCCTCTCAATGAGTCAACCATGCAGGAGAAGAGCCAATGTACCGTATCTGGTCCAACCATGATGAATGAGCACAAATATGAATAGACCGAGTTAAAGGGCAAATTCACCAAAAAAAAAAAAAATATATGAAGGTGAACCAACTTCAAATATCGTGGCCACCCCTCCAGACCCCACTATAGCGGGTAGGAGTTTGTGTGCATTATAGCACTGCTACCAATGAAATGGTTATGGTAGCAGCAGCAAAATGTTTCAAGTAGATCAGTCAGTAATGTTCCAATTCTGCTGGAGTAATTAACCTGCAACAAACGTGGCCCCATTTTAATAGGAGGTGCCGCCTGTAAACATAATGCAAAGCATCGCGGCATGTGAATGACACCTTCTGGCTGTATTAATAGTCTTGTTCACAGCTGTGGGGCAGTAAGACCACAGTTGAGCTGTGTTTACTGCACCCCAATAGCTGCCCCCTTTAACAGCAAAGGCAATGGCCAAGGGTATACACATGCCACAATCAATACTTTGGGTATAATTCCTCCTGCGGTCACAAAGCGGTCGCTTTCCACAGGTGTCACATGACCCATTCAAGCAAATGTCGCCACTCTGCAAGCACCCAGCAACCTTTTACAACACGTGGTTGTGGCATACAAGGAGTGGTTCAAGGACACATGCTGGGTCCCAATATGGCATCTATATGGTTGCATGTCTCCAAAATGCAGACAGCAATGTCAATCTGTGCAGCCACTGCATCCCAATAGACATCAATGGGACTGCCTGCATGGGGAAGCATGAACATCTGTGCATCCCCATGTGGGGGAACATGGCCCTCCATAGCTGTATGGTATAGTACACCCTGTTTGAACTAGGGATAAAAGTTGATGCTTCCCAAAATTACATCTGCATTTAGAAATGCTAAACACAGGGGTACCAATGTGGACACTGCATGGGGCCAGACAAACCCTAAGGATTAATAGCCACATGCCTAGTCTGCTATTAAACCCGAGTGCTGGCAGAGTTGTTCCCTCTTTATACATTATATTAGAAAAGTTGTGATTTGCAGTCAGTGTTGCCGATTTGTGCCTGGCATGGAATTTAGTGATCCGATAGAAATTCATTGTGAAGTTTCCATTGGTTTACAAAGAAATCTGGGAATGAGGCCAGGTTCACACTTTCACCCCCTTCCTGCCCAGGCCAATTTTTAGCTTTCAGCTCTGTTGCACTTTAAATGACAATTGAGCGGTAATGCAACACTGTACACAAACTAATTTTATTTATTTTTAGATAGTTCTCTTTAGGTGGCATTTAATCACCACTGGGGCTTTATTGTTTGCTACACAAAGGCCAAAAATTTAGGGAAGAAAACCCAAAAAAACAAAAACACACAGCACCCAGTTATAAATATTTGCAAATGTGTAGATTTTCTTCACTGTGTGATGAAGCTGCACTGCTGAAGAGGTACCGATGAGGCGATGGCACTAATGATCAGTGCAGGGGTGGACTGAACTCATGGGGCCCCCAGGCAATAGGGGATCATGGGGCCAGTGTCCTTGCCCACACTCAAAAAAGCATATGAAAAGGTACCAGGGGCATCTCATGGGGCCCCCTTCTGACCCTGGGCAGTGCCTGAGTTCCCAAATGGTCAGTCCACCCCTGGATCAGTGTACATGTTCCCTGTCACAGGAAAGCTGGTTATCAGCTTCCTTTCCTCAGACAGCATGGAGAAGAGGAAC